TTTTAATGGCGGGACCGATTGTTTAGTATTTTCGTTGAAATTTAAGTTATGGCGTCTAATTTTGAGAATGTGCCAACTAGTGGATTTTGTCCAATTGTCCCACTAAAGGATATTTGGAGCTTTGATTAAATTTGCCCGATTAATCTGTTGGTCGACTCGAGTTGTACACCTGATAATGGTAGGTGAGTCTCTCAATAGAGATTTTTTGCATCACAAGAACTCGAACTTAAGATTTTGTTTAAGCGACATCAAACTGCTTACCACTTGAATCTATCCTTGTCGATAAATGTGACAGTTTTTAATTTTCCTGCCAATTTTTTTTCCCTTGAACTGTTGCACATGATTATAGATCTTAAGACTGTCGGGCGAAACTAATATTATAGTATTGAGATGATGGAACCCTGGGTAAAAACTTATATAATGTTGAGTGAAGATGACAATATGACACACGAATTAAAAACAAGAAAAGTAAAAAAAAACACAAGATTTACGTGGTTCGGCAATGTGCCTACGTCCACGGCGGCTGAGGGGTCTTTTATTATTCTCAATCGTATCAAATACATCAATACACCATGTATTTATACTAAAACCCTACAAGGTATAAATTTACTTAAATACCCTGTACCGTACCGCGGGGGCTCTGCCCCCGCACCCCCGTCTATACCGCGGGGGCTCCGCCCCCGCACCCCGACCCAACTAATCGACCCAGCCCAGGCATCAGCCTGCCCTCTTCCTTTGTCAATATATGAGTCATACCAACATATAATATTCAAGATATTCACATTCAAACGCTATGTATTGAGATCTTTTGTTTTGTAAATTTTAAGATACCCATGTGGACTCTTCCAATTGAGGTAATTTGTATATATTAATGTATACACATGTTTTTTTTTTTTTTTTTTTTTTTTTTTTTTTAAATCATGCTTCAATAACAATTTGATTGATATAAAGTTTAGATATTACTCACATTACAAATATCGTGGAGTTCTACACGTTACATCAACTTTAAATCAATAATCTCTGTACTTACACATCATTTATAGTATCCATTGTGTCAAGATATTAATAATTATTACTATTATTTTGTATGTCTTTAAACAATATTATTGGGCAAGTCTAGCATCCATAGTTTTCAATTTGGACTGCCCCGGCGGGTCAATCCCGAACCCGTCAACCCGAAGCCAGTACCGGTTCAGGTGGGTGCTTCATACCAGGTGACAACATACCCGGTCATAATCTGTCAACCAGGTCGACCTGAGGATCAACCCGGGCGAGCCAACTCGGTTTGACCCAACCACTATAATATTTTGGAAAACTATTCTTTATTTTAAAAATATAATCTATATGTATATATTTATATGGTAAATGTTTATTATGAGATACAATACTATTAATACTCTGATGTATTAATACTTCGATGTACAAAACATTTATTTATCTTACTTTTATGTATATTTATATGAAAAAAATATAATATAATATACATATAATTTTTAAAAATTTAAAATTAATTATCTGGTTCAACAATTGATACAGTAATCTGACAGTTAAACTGGTGACCCGATGACTCGGAGGCCTTCCGGGTGACTCCCAATTTAAAAGCTATGCTAGCATCATTATTGTCTTTGCTATAACCTATTCAATTAATCATTTTTATTTTACCTTACTCATTTTCATACTATAGCTATCTCGTGGTATTGTTTTCAGCATATCCATTATTGTTTTGTGTTGAGCATATTCAATCATCTATTATTAATGCAAAATTAAACTTCATTATCAATACTTACTTAATTGGAATTTATATCGTATAAGATGTTGGAAAATGCTACAAGTAAATAATAAATGTACATACATCATAACACTCACATGGAGTGGGGTCTACTTGATTTTTTAATTTTGGTGGGACCCAAAAAGATAATCTAGTTATGAGTTTATCTTGTTGTTGATAAAATTGGTTGATAATCTAGCTGATAGCTGATAAACTAGCTTATAGTTTATATGTAATTTTTGAGCTTATAATAGCTTATAACTTATGATTTATAGCTGAAAAGCTAACTTATATGATAAAAGAATTTGGTAAAATTAGCTGATAAATTAGTTGAAATAAAAAATTTAACTAATTTATTTGAAAAGCTACCTAAAGTAGCTTATAAGAGCATCCGCATTGCACAATTAAATTTGTGCGTTTACACGCTTCTGTGGCGTTAACATGGATGTGTTGCGTTCATTTAAAGGGAGGTCCCACCTGTGCGTTCAACATATTGAACGTGGTTTTCTCTTTTTCTTTTTTGTTTTTTTATTTAAATTAATTATTTATTCAATATTTAAGAATATAATATCAAAATTTTATATTGAATGAATGAATAATGGGTCCCATATATGTGTTTAAATGAATATGTAGGAATGTGGGTGTGTGTTTAAATGAGGAGATATTTAGTGAAAAGATGATGTGGAGATGATGTGGATGAAAGAGAGTGTAAATTGTGTTTGAATGAATGTTAAGGGATGTGGATGCCCTAAGATAAGCTCGAGTTTTTTTAATAAAGTCTCACCTACTAAACGAGGCTTATTTGAATACAAATAACTTATAAGCTAACAAAATACCTAAACTAGCTTATTTGGCTTACCAAACATAGCCGTAATATTTGTGAAAAATCTAAAATGATTCATTTTATTGTGTATCATGCTATTGTCGACTTTTCATATTTTTGTCAACATCATAATTGCAACTCTCATTTCAGAAAAATCAAAACTTGCTTCCGAATAACACTAAACAACACAGTATGAAAATATGAGGAAAATAGGGAAAAACAGCTTTGAGAAAAAAAAAAAAAAATAATAATAATAATAATCTCTTTTTCGGTTTCAAATTCAAATAAAAAGTATTAATTAATGTCGGCATGTTTCCAATTATTTTCCAACTTACTTTCAAATGTCACAAACATGTATTTTATTTATTATTTTTTTTTTTTTTTTGAATATTCTAAATTTATATTTATATTTATGTAGGTGTATCAGAAGTAGCCATATTAAAAAAATTAAACTAAAGCAGGCACATAAATTTTAAAATCGAGAAATTTGAGAATAATATATTATCTGAAATTCGAAGTCCGTACTAAAATTTAATAAGATATGTGCGCATATCGTGTAAAATTCCAGCCAAATTTTAAAATTGGTTAATTTAAGGACAAAATTAGCTGGGAATTCAAATTTTGACCTATAATTCAATAGTACGTGTCAGTTTTGGGATGAAGTTCATATTACTAACAAAAATTACTTCTAAATTGATGTTTTGGAATGAAGTTCATATTACTAACAAAAATTACTTCCAAATTGATTAATTTAAAAATGCAAATTTGTATATCACGACCTTCATCGAAATTGCAATTTAATCATGATAATTTATTTTTGTAAATTACACCACAATCTTTAGTTTGTTGCAAACAATCTGAAAACAATAATAGGAAAGCTGGTGTGGTCGAACAACAAACTAAAGATTGTTATATAATTTGCACGGGATATGCAAATCGGTATATCAATTTGCAACAAACTGAAGATGATATGATTTGCAAAAGTGAAAAAAGTTGTTAATAAAAATGCATTTCGAAAAATGACATGATATTAAAGGTAATTTTGCCATTTGAAAATTACGGCATTCCTACTTATTAATTGACTTCAAATGAGACTATTAAAAATCGCTTTTAGAGTTACAGACAACTTTTACATTTTTATTTTTATTTTTTGATATATTATCGTCTATATTTTTTTAACCGAACACAATTAAGAGCGTCTCCAGTGTGGCGTTATCTCTCAACACAACTCCAGATTTTTCTGTTTTTGTTTTTTGTTTTTTTTTTTTTTATTTTATTTTATGTATTTTTAATGTAATATTAATGATATATTTTTGTATAATGTGTATTAATAAATATATTTTTATGTTAAATTAAAATTTGTGTAATATATTTTTTTATGTTAAATAATTTTGTATTTTTATATATTTTTATAGAATTAAATATACATAAATAAAATATATATTTTTAGTATTTTTGTAATAAGTATTTATATAAGATTAAATATATATATGTAAATATAATTATTTTGTTTGAATTAAACAAGAATAAAAAAGTATATATTTGATGTAGAGTAAAATGTAGAGATAAAGACGGGAAAAGAATGTTTAACTCTACTCTAGAGTAGAGTAAAATTGCGCTAGAGTAAAGATAAGGACTCGAGATGACCTAAGTTTATCTATTAAAATTTCATGAAAAAAAAAAAAAAACGAAAGAGAAAATAAAATGAACTTAAAGTGGATTTTGAGCTGCATCGTGACTGCCAGCTGGCGTATTAAATGGAGAGCTTACCTGAAACGGACGACCACCTGAATTTCATCATCGCACATAGTAATTAAGAATGTATTTTGTCCTAAATAAATTAGTTCGAATTTCAAGCGACAATTTAATAATTGTCTGAATAAAATTTTGAACTAACAGTCCATTTGAAATCGAAGTCAAATAATAGCAGGAGTTGGTTCTTATCTGAATTCATGACTGATTAATGTGAAATTTTCACAAGTGGCCCCAAAAAATCGTTTGCTTTACTACCAATCTACCATTCAACACAGCATTTTGATCGTAAGGGAAATTCCAAAAATGGGTCTTTGTTAATTGTCTTTGTCCATCGTCTTCTCTTCGACCTGCAATGCGGTAGGAGAGTCTCCGAGTTCAAACTTCCGATTTGA